CCCCTGCCTATGGCAGGGGGCTCCTGCCCCCGAGTGGAGCAGCTTCTTGTCTTAAGAATTGGGTGGTGGTCTGGGTAGCAGCTAGCTTGTATCTATACCCCTTGAGCCTTCAAATAGGGGAAGAGAGTGAGGAGAGGGACCCGAGCACCCTCTGTCATCATTGCTCACTGCATTAGGGCCCCATTTTCTGTAGAGGATGGAAGCAGCAGAGGGGCCCTGTGGGCAGGCAGAGTGTAGGGTGGATTTGGCTGGGATCACCCTCCTGTGTCACAATCAGCCTCATGTAACGTCTGCTCCCTCTCCCCCCCTTCTCCCCTCTGTCACTGACACCCACGTGTGTGCCCTCCCTCAATCCCCTCCACACACACTGCTGCCATCTGCACGTCCACGCTCTGCACACCCAAACCTCTACACGCTTTCCTGTGGCTGCCCGTTTGCCCTGGACACAAATGTCCCCCTGTGCCCGACGGGCCCTGGATGCCACTGGACTATCTCCTCCCCAATCCCACCCCTCCGTGCTCTCCTGGCTGTTACCCCTGAAGGTTTGGTTTCAGAACCGAAGAGCCAAGTGGCGGAAGCGGGAGAAGTGCTGGGGACGGAGCAGCGTGATGGCCGAGTACGGCCTCTACGGGGCCATGGTGAGGCACTCCATCCCTCTGCCCGAGTCCATCATCAACTCTGCCAAGAGCGGGCTGGTGGGATCCTGCGCCCCATGGCTGCTGGGTAAGTGGGAGCTTGGGGCTGGGGGGGTCATTGGGGAGCTGTGGAGTGAATGGCTCTTCCTATTTCGTATGGCCCTCCTGGTCTGTACCCAGAAATGAACAGGGTCTCAGCCATGAGCTGTACACAGGGCAATAAGAACCCCAGCTCTTCCTCTCCCTCCTTGCAAAGAAGAGCTGGGAAAGGGAACGCCTTGTACTGCTGGGTCAGGCAGGTGCCTGCAAGTGGTTGGGTATCGCTGTCTAGTGCTAGCAGCCAGCGTGGGAATCATAAAAGCATAGACCCATAGAATCAACTGGGTTGGAAAAGACCTTCAAGATCATCCAGTCCAACCATTCCCAGCACTGCCAAGGCCACCACTAACCCAGGTCACTGAAGGCCTCGTCTACACGGTTTGTGAGCACTTCCAGGGACGGTGACTCCACCACTGCCCTGGGCAGCCTGTTCCAATGCCTGACTGCCCTTTGGGGAAGAAATTGTTCCTAATACCCAGTGTAAACCTCCCCTGGCACAGCTTGAGGCTGTTTCCTCTTGTCCTGTCCCTTGTTCCTTGGAGCAGAGACCAGCCTCCTCCTGGCTCCATCCTCCTTTCAGGCAGTTGTAGAGAGTGATAAGGTCCCCCCTGAGCCTTCTCTTCTCCAGACTAAAGCCCCCAGGTCCCTCAGCTGTTCGTCATCACACTTGTGCTCCAGGCCCTGCACCAGCTTCATTGCCCTTCTCTGGACCCACTCCAGCACCTCAATATTTCTCTTATGGTGAGGGGTCCAGAACTGAACGCAGGATTCAAGGTGTGAATGGGAGTTGCAAGGTGTCTAGGAAGTCATCAGTATCCCCCAACCTGAGGATAATGCTACCTGAGAACTTCTCTCTGCCCATACACAGTCCTATACTGAGGTGGCACCTGAAATCCAGGCTGGGATGGGCTGTTGCAGCAACCCCCTCCCTGTAAGTCTTTCCCACTGAAGGGGAAACACGGACCAATTCTACCACAAGCCGTGCTCCTGGGCTGCAGAGAGCAGGCAGCAGGGCTCCGGGCCAGGAATGGTAGCTAGCATGGGTTTTCCTTTGGGAAGCAAGCAGAAGCTGAAGGAAGCAGCAGGAGGTGATGCTGAGCAGTCCTGGGCAGAAAGAAGCAACCAGCCCCTGTGGCTTTGCTCTCTCTCTCTGCAAGGTATGCACAAAAAGTCCATGGAGGTGAGCAGGAAGGCAGAGAGCCAGGAGAAGCTGGCAGATGGCTGGCGAGCGGAGCAGCAGGAGGAAGAGGAACTCAAAGGGAAGCAGGCCAGTTCCCAGAGGGGGTCCGACAAGCTTGGCCCAGCAAAAGATTCAGAGGACACAGCCATTGACCTCTCCAGGACAGCCAAGCATGAGAAGAGGGGTGTACTGAGGCAGTGCATCAATGGGGACCCCCCCACAGAGCTGAGCAACAGGGACCACTGACCAGGCCTCACAGCTCCCTGCTGAGATAAGAATATTTATTGATTTATTGCTATATATATTTTTTTTCCTTAAATAATTGAACTTTTCTCTGAATTCAGGGCATTTCAAAACTGGGCACACACATCCTTGTCCCCTCACATTGATCCAGAGACAGGGTGGAGGGTGGGAGAGGTGTCCCAGCGGGACCAGGAGCAGTGTGAAAATGAGGGTATATTGTGGTTAGCATGAGCCACTGCCCTTCCCCTCTGGGCTCTGAACACTTCCTGGCTAGCCAGGAGCACAAGGAGCAGCAATGCAATAGGAGCAGCTTCCCTGCTCCAACACACGGGTGCAAAGGCATTGCAGGAGGTGACAGACACCTTTTCTGAGCGCTTCCACTATGTGGAAGTCCCTCTGCTCTGAACACCAGCTCTTCCCTCTCCAGAAGCAGCAGGTTTTAAACACAGTCAGGTTCATCCTCAAGCTGGTGTAACCTGACAGGCGCTCTGGTTCCTACCTGCTGAGGATCTGGCCTGCCAATGCAGCCTTACCACTGGATTTACACTGTGTGACCTCCTTAACTCATGTCTAGGAGAAGGGGGTGAAGACATTCTTGTTTATGCAATGATTTTGTACACTCTTGAATGTTACCTGCCACACTATGCAGAACAGAACAGACCTTTGGAAAACCAAGCCATAGAACCCAGAGCAATTAAACAGTTTTGTGAATTGACATGAGAAGATATTTTGTAATTGTCTGTACAAAGTGTTAATGTCAGAGCTGTTTCTCAGTCACCATATATTTATGTCTAAAAGCACTTTAGTGATCTGGATTTTTGAATGTGGCTCTTCCTGTTTTGTCCACTGTTTATTTATTACACATCCATAAATAAAATTGTGGTGTATTCTTTGGTTTTCAGGCTCTGCCTTGTAATTTGTAGCTTCCTTTGGCATATCGCATGGTAGCTGCTAGCTTTCAGCAGATCCTCCACAGCCTTGTGCCTAAACTGGGCTGGAGAGCTGTGCCAAGGCAATGTCATTATTCCAAGGGGACAGAGGTCTAGTCCAGTGGCCTACACATGCCAGAAGGTGATTGATTTGTGCCAGTCAAAGATCCAGACCACAGCTGATGGGTCAGGAGATGGTCTGAAATGGAGCACTTGGAAAGTTTCTCAGGGAAGTCACAGGGAGAAAGTTGCTTCATTGTCCCAAGGGTTGTTGAAATTTCACAGCATGGGAGAGCTGGGCTGGTCCAGCCTGGAGAAGAGAAGGCTCCTTAAGGGGAGGCCTTAGAGCAGCTTCCAGTACATAAAAGGGTGACAAGAAACCTGGAGAGGGGCTTTGGACAAGGGTCTGTAGGGACAGGACAAGGGGGAATGGCTTTAAACTGACAGAGGGGAGATTGAGATGAGACATTTGGCAGAAGCTCTTCCCTGGGAGGGTGCTGAGGCGCTGGCACAGGGTGCCCAGAGAAGCTGTGGCTGCCCCATCCCTGGCAGTGTTCAAGGCCACGTTGGACACAGGGGCTTGGAGCAACCTGCTCTAGTGGAAGGTGTCCCTGCCCATGGCAGGGGGTTGGAACTGGGTAAGCTTTAAGGTCCCTTCCAACACAAACCCGACTGGGATTCTGTGAAAATCCTCCTCAACACAGCTCAAATGTGAGGTTCTTCACTGGAATGTCTGCTGCCCTGGTGGCAGGAAAGGTGCTTTGCTTCTGAAGTGTCTTTGTAGTGCTCTCCTCCTCCTCTTCCTGCTGCTTTGAGAGGTGCAGAGTTGGGCCCTTGTGCCACCACATCTCTTGTGGTTAATACAAGGAGCAGCTGTTCAGTCGGGCTATGAATGCATGGTGGGACGTACCGTTGGGGGCACACCACAAGCAGCTGTGTGGTCCCAACCACACAAGCATCCCCAGTGAAGCACAAGGGCATCATGGCCATCCAGCTGCTCAGCTCCTGGCTGTGCTGGGTTCTCATCTCATGGCTGGGCTGAACTGGCCCATGCAGACACCATGACAGCTCTCCTGGAACACCTCCAGTCTCATCTGCTGGCCAAAGCATCACAGAAAATTATCCGAAGGTTTTATTAAAATCTGAGTAATTCCCAATTTGGAAAGTTTCCTAATCCAGCTCAGGGGTATGTGGCCATGTAGGGATGCTGTTACCTGTCCCCACCTTTGCTGCTGGGCCTGGCTCCTCGCACACAGCCTGTGCTGGGCAGGGGGAGAGTGGTGGGACGCTGCCTGGGGAGAGCATCTGCAGATTTCCTTCCTTTTCCTGCCTCTTCCCTCCTCTGCTGGGCCCTCGCTGCACGGGAGGGAACATCTGCATGGCAAATACAAGCTCTGCAGCAAAAACATATCTGACAGGGGGGCCATGGGGAGCACAGCTCAGGAAAGGACCAGCCAGGGCTTATTGCAGCAGCAATTAGGCTCAGCGAGAGCCGAGCCTTAGCACATTGGAGACCTAATCCTGCCTGAGCAGCATCTGTGAACCTTTTATTTGGGCTGTGCCCTGCTGGCACCGGGTGCCTGCAATCATTCATTTTTGCTGTGCCCGTGTGCAGATGGCCTGGCTCTTTGCCTTGACACTGGGTGCAGTGCTGCGGGAGGGAGCGTGTCCCCACCACAACTGCTACAAGGGGAAACACCCCAGCCCCTGCCCTGTGCAGGGTGAGGACAACTCTCCTGGTGGGCTCCCAGCTCTCACCTCATGCTGTGAAGGGAGAGCTGATGGCACGTGGCACTTTCTGTGTGCCAAGTCTTCACTGCGGGGTACTGGGGCTCAGACGTGCCCCTGCTGCTGCACTCAGTGTGCACTGCTTCAGAGTCCTCTCTGAAAGAGGTGCTGGTGGGTGACAGCGACTGCCCAAGGCTCCAGAGAGCTGGTGGCAGGGTCTGGAGGGGCAATCCTCAGAGCAGGGACAGTCACTTGCCTCTTGGCTGCCTGTGCTAAGCCTGGCAGGGAAGCGCTTGCTGTCCTCCCCATGGCACTGCAGTTGTAGCGGCAGTAGGAGTAAGGCAGCATGTTCTACTTGTTGCTTCAGGTTCAATCCATGCTGAGATGAGTGGTAGCTATCATCTTGTTACTGCACCAGGGCCTGGCTGGTTGAACGTCCCTCTGCAAGGGGCCTTGAGGGTCCCTCAGCCACAAAAGCTGGGTTAGCTCAGGCAGGAGATCCCTTCAGTGGGGCTTGGGCAGGAGGAGCTGATAACATGAAAGCCGCTGTTCAGCAGCTTCACTGCAGTTCATCCGGGCTGCCACTCACCTCAGCACATCCAGATCTTTCCACAGCACTAGCCAGGGACTTAAACCAACCATTGAAGAAGGGATGAGGAAAGGGAAAAGGGAATAAAATGATAACATTTTGGCATCTCTTTGCTTTTTATGGGATTGGAGGCTGACTGTCAGGCATGTACGTCTGAGGGCTGCAAGGAGGCAGTGGCATCTGCATGGTGCCATTTCTGTACAGCTTAGTAACATTAAATTCTAACCGTCATCTTGCAGATCCTCCCATGCCACTGGCTGGATTTTCAGACTGGGAAGTTAGGAAGTGTAGTATGAACTATATAGAAGTTATGGTGGCTGCCCCATCCCTGGCAGTGTTCAAGGCCAGGCTGGACACAGCGGCTTGGAGCAACCTGCTCTAGTGGAAAGTGACACTGCCCGTGGCAGGGGATTGGAACTGGATGAGCTTTAAGGTCCCTTCCAATCCAAATCAGTCTGGGATTCTATGATTCTATAGCATAAACTATACAGAAATGTTTTGGAAGTGCTCCCTCGTGTGGAGCTAGGCGATGGCACGCAGAATCCAGCCCAGGAATCAGGGAAAGCTGACTGGGTCCTAGAGGTAACCAGGAGCCTGGCTCTTTCCCCTCAGTCCAACAGACCCCTGTCTACCTGCGGAGTCACATGATGGGGTGTCTGGATGCCGAATTAAATAATCCGACAAGGGGTTGCTTTTCATTAATTGCATCACCAGCAGGCACTCGGTAAAGGAGCAGCCCCTTCCCCAGAGCAAGCTGGGTTGTGGCAGAGGGCACAGGGGTTGATCAGAGGCTCCAGCTTCCTCCAGACTGCTCCTTTCCAAGGTCATTGTTAAAGAAGATTCTTTGCCCAGGGTTTCCCACAGCAGATTGTTAGAACAATAATTTAATAATTGACTGGTACAGGAACAGGAACAGCTGGAGCTGTGTGCCTTTGGGATGGGACCCAGAACGCAAAAATCCCTGCGTCTTTATACCCTTACAGCCTATGCACTGACCACCACACACTGTTCACGTGCCTTGCACGCATCTCTTGGTCCCATGGGGAATTTTGGTCTAGGGTGTCCTGGTCCATCATTGAGTTGTTTCATGGTCTTGAGGTGGGCTTTAAATTCCTTTTTACCTCTCTGGTGGTTGCTCCTTGCTAAAGATGCATCTCCTCTACCTTCCAGTTTGCATTAGCCTTGAGGCTTTTGTTTACAGAACAACCAGGTTGTTGCAGCCCAAGGCAAGTGCAGTTTCCCACCCTCTGTGACTACCTAAACTAGGCAAAACCACACGGTCAAAAGAATTCAGTTAAAGGAGTTCGGCTAATGTTAGTGAACAGTTAACAGTTCAGCATAGCACCAACACAGCCACACGTTTATGAACCAAATGCACGTGTTTGGCCCGCAAAACCGCACCAGTCTGGCACAGTTGAGGGCAACCCGTTCTGCTCCGGGGACGTGCTATTTCCCCCTTACTCCCATGTGCTGCTGGCCGGGGCTGAGAGAGGGCAGCGAAGGCCTTACTCGCTGTTCTGGCTCCACTCCGACCCTCCACAGCCGTGGCATTTTCTGTGTGCCAAGAGATAATCGCGGGGTGCAGCGGGGTGTGCTGGGGCTCAGATGTGCCCCTGCTTCTGCACTCACAGTGTGCACCGCGCCCCAGTGCAGCCTGAAGGAGGTGCCGGGGGGTGACACCGACTGCCCAATGCTCCAGAGAGCTGGTGGCAGCGTCTGGAGGGGCAACACTCGGAGCAGGAACACTCTGAGAGCGC